CCTGGGCTGCAGCCCGCTTGGCCTGCCGGTACCTGTCAGCTGTCTCAGGAGTCCCACCAGCCAACCAGGCCCGAAAGGACTCCTTCTTCAGCTTGACGGCATCCCTTACTTCCGGTGCCCACCACCGGGTTCGGGGATTGCCACCACGACAGGCACCGGAGACCTTACGGCCACAGCTCAGAACGGCCACATCGACAATGGAGGTGGAGAATATGGTCCACTCGGACTCAATATCTCCAGCCTCCCCCGGGATCTGGTCAAAGCTCTGCCGGAGGCGGGAGTTGAAGATCTCTCTGACAGGGGATTCTGCTAAACGTTCCCAACAGACCCTCACAATACGTTTGGGTCTGCCGAGTCTGTCCAGCTTCCTCCCCCGCCATCGGATCCAGCTCAACACCAGGTGGTGATCAGTTGATCAGGAATTTTAATGTTTGGTAAATGGTGTACAAGTGTATAAATTATGACCTGAGGTAACAGAAGGAGGTTGTTTTGTACATGCATGGTTTATGTGTGTTAATGAACTTTGTTGGTTGGCTGCCTGATATGAAGTAGCACTAATTAGTGTTATCATTTGCACCTGTACTGATCACATGGGGTGGGTAGAAATACCAGAGTTGTGGTGTTAGGTCACTACATTGAAGAAGGTTGTTATGCTGAAATGTTTGTTTTTCTCTGCCATGTGATTTTTTGAAGCTAAAAATAACTTTTTTTCCTTAAAGCTCCTTCAGAGTGCAAAGGCTGTGTTATTTCTGTAATTTGTAGAAAGGAAGAAACTTAGACATATGTGAGCATTACGCTTGCTAAGTTGGAGCAAACTAGCATAGGAAGACAGGCTTAACAAAAATGTTTGATATATGTGGCAGGCTTGAGGCCTACATCCTGGTGTTAGCATGAGCACGCTAAGAAAATGTTTGGTGCCTAAAACAGCAGCTGAAATGTTTGTTTGTGCTAGTGACTGTTTGGTAGCAGTTAGCCTGAATTAGCCTGAGTAGATGAAGGGCTGTTTTGGGCATGTGGATGCACACAAAGAGGGGTTCTGGGATGCTGGAACACACTGTTGAGCCTTCTTGGTGTCGTGGGCCCAACTCAACAAAACACCAGTTAGTGAGAAGGTGCCCACCCTGATGACCCTGTAGACTTGCTGTCACTCCTACACCCACACAGAACCTTTATTAGTGTTGGTGATAATGCAGCTACAGACTCACTAGAATTGTTAATAGTCTTCTTTTGTTAGACAAACTTGGTAGAACAGTGTCAGCGGTTGGACAGCTGAGCAGACCCAGCTCTCAGAGAAGATTGCTGTTACAAGCCAGCTGGACCAGCTACTGCTTAACCTGAGCAAATACAATGCAGATGCTGTGTGTCAATCCACATATCTGCTCTTTGCCTGGGTGACGAAAGGGTTCAGGAATGTTCTCCCACTCTTTGGCACATTTAATTGCATATTATTGACTGTATATTCAAGGTATCTTTTATCTCCAGTGGGCCATTTGATTCACAGTCACCAGTATGTTAGGTATTTTTAGTCAGATAGACATTGGTTAGACACTTCATGTATTAGAAATGTTTAGTGTAGACAGGATGTCTAGCTCAGGCTGTTAAATGCTTAGTCATTCCCATGGGGTACTCCAGGTCGTTTATGTTCAAGGATAACTAGATAGAAAGTTGATTACTGTTAGGAGACAGAATGTTTATTATTATTATTATTATGACGTGTTTAATCATAATCATAATATTTTCTTATGCTTAATGTCATGACATGTCACTAGATGTCATGTCAGAATGTCTTAGATACACACCACACAATCAACAGACAATCACACATTGATTTTCTTCATGGTTTGACTACTGCTATGGTCAGCTGCAAAGCTGGCACCGGAGACGTCATGGTTTGGCGTCCCTGAGCAGTATGGGCTAGCCCAAAGTGATATAATAGGCCTGTTATGGTTCGGGGCTTTGTCCATCTTCCGGCTGCCTGCGTGCATGGTGGAGGGGCAAAGACACCATGTTGAATTTTGGGTAAATTAACTTTTTGACATTTTTGCAGATTTATTAAAAAAGAAAAACTGAAATATCACATGGTCATAAGTATTCAGACCCTTTGCTCAGTATTTAGTAGAAGCACCCTTTTGAGCTAATACAGCCATGAGTCTTTTTGGGAATGATGCAACAAGTTTTTCACACCTGCATTTGGGGATCCTCTGCCATTCCTCCTTTCAGATCCTCTCCAGTTCTGTCAGGTTGGATGGTAAACGTTGGTGGACAGCCATTTTCAGGTCTCTCCAGAGATGTTCAATTGGGTTTAAGTCAGGGCTTTGGCTGGGCCATTCAAGAACAGTCACGGAGTTGTTGTGAAGCCACTCCTTCGTTATTTTAGCTGTGTGCTTAGGGTCGTTGTCTTGTTGGAAGGTGAACCTTCGGCCCAGTCTGAGGTCCTGAGCACTCTGGAGAAGGTTTTCGTCCAGGATATCCCTGTACTTGGCCGCATTCATCCTTCCCTCGATTGCAACCAGTCGTCCTGTCCCTGCAGCTGAAAAACACCCCCATAGCATGATGCTGCCACCACCATGCTTCACTGTTGGGACTGTATTGGACAGGTGATGAGCAGTGCCTGGTTTTCTCCACACATACCGCTTAGAATTAAGACTAAAAAGTTCTATCTTGGTCTCATCAGACCAGAGAATCTTATTTCTCACCATCTTGGAGTCCTTCAGGTGTTTTTTAGCACACTCCATGCAGGCTTTCATGTGTCTTGCACTGAGGAGAGGCTTCTGTCGGGGCACTCTGCCCTAAAGCCCCGCCTGGTGGAGGGCTGCAGTGATGGGTGACTTTTTCCAACTTTCTCCCATCTCCCGACTGCATCTCTGGAGCTCAGCCACAGTCATCTTTGGGTTCTTCTGTACCTCTCTCACCAAGGCTCTTCTCCCCCGATAGCTCAGTTTGGCCGGACGGCCAGCTCTAGGAAGGGTTCTGGTCGTCCCAAACGTCTTCCATTTAAGGATTATGGAGGTCACTGTGCTCTTAGGAACCTTAAGTGCAGCAGACATTTTTTTTGTAACCTTGGCCAGATCTGTGCCTTGCCACAATTGTGTCTCTGAGCTCTTCAGGCAGTTCCTTTGACTTCATGATTCTCATTTGCTCTGACATGCAGTGTGAGCTGTAGGGTCTTATATAGACAGGTGTGTGGCTTTTCCTAATCACGTCCAATCAGTATAATCAAACACCGCTGGACTCAAATGAAGGTGTAGAACCATCTGAGGGATGATCAGAAGAAATGGACAGCACCTAAGTTAAATATATGAGTGTCACAGCAAAGGGTCTGAATACTTATGACCATGTGATATTTCAGTTTTTCTTTTTTAATAAATCTGCAAAAATGTCAATTCTGTGTTTTTCTGTCAATATGGGGTGCTGTGTGTACATTAATGAGGAAAAAAAATGATGGCTGCAATATAACAAAGAGTGAAAAATTTAAGGGGGTCTGAATACTTTCCGTACCCACTGTATATATTTATGCCAACTTTTGTGTGTAACTTAGTCACCGTTTCTCGGTGAACATGCTACATACTCCATAATGGATTATGTTCAGTATGTGTGCTGTTCTGTAGAAAAAGGAGACAAGGGTGGGGACAATAAAGCCAATCCCAGAGTAAAGATGTCTAAATAAACACAATGGCAAATGACGAAAGGTCAGATTCACTGTTTCCATTTTAAATTTGAGGGGAAAAAAGGATTTGTATGAATTAAGTCTTACTACAATCTAGCTCCTTTGGATGAAACCTCTATGTACAACATTGGAACAATATGAAAACAAAGGATCTTTAGGTAGCTATGAACACAAACTAAAATCAATGCAGACACAAATCACAGTGAATGATTAAATTTTCTTGATGAATTGCAGCAATACAACTGAAGACTGCAGAATCTCATGTATGTGTGCTAACTCTTGTTGCTGCTTCCATTTTCTACAGTCTTGCACATTTTTTCCTCTGTTGATGCTTTGAAAACATTGGCTTTGTAGTACTGCAGCTCTTGAATGCTTTCCCAGATGTCATCTAAAGCTCTGAAAAAGAAAAATAGTTGTAACTATTTTCATTGTATTATACATATGCCTTTTACCCTTAAAAGTGAGTGCAGATCAGAAAAACTCTGATCTTGATTTTGCAGATTTGTATCAGTTTGCTTTTGTTTTTGACTCTGCCTACAAGGTGAGGAACACCATTCCCACAGTCAACCATGGTAGAGGCTTGCTGATGTTTTTGAGACAGGGCCAGATTATGATCCTCACCTGGGGCGCTTCACTTTTGGAGGCCCACACCCCCCCAATGACTTTTCAGGCCTAAAGTTCAGATTATTGGATTTTGGACCTTAGGACCCACAGAAACCCTGTCTGCTAGGCTAAGTAGAATTTAAAACATCCTTATATTAATTTTGATGATACAGATGCAGCGACTTAAAATTGCACTTCACAGCTAAATGGCTTTCAGCTGGCGTGCAGTTCCGTGAGCCTTCCAGGCGCCCTCCTTCTCCTGTTGCCTGATGAGGCATGTCTAGATTCCAAAGTGAGCACAGCAATTAAAGAGCTATTCGTTCATTTACACGGTGTCACCATTAGATGGCACTTTGTTCTCTAAACACACAAACTAGAACATGACTGCCTGAAGTAGCATATTCACACTGCAGAGTCATGTTTTTGTTTAGACCACGGTTAATACAATAGAACTGTCTAACCATAATCCTTATCCTACAGGTACTGTGCCAGATTTAAAAAAATCATTACCTACTACACTGGCTTTCACATATGTGTAAAGTTTGAATAAAACAAATATAACACCCTAAGCCATATCAATTAAATAATGTGCCTACTATAAGCATTAGGGATGGGAAAAGAGCGTTTCAGCTCTATGTTGAATTAATTCAGTTAACATTTCTCTCTAAATTAATTTTAAACAAGTAGATTTTCAGAAACAGCGTTTCCTACAATTCTCTTTTAAACACCTGAAACATACACACTTTTTAACAAAAGACTTATGTCATGTTCTGTAGGGTACTAAAAACATTAAATTCATCAGGTAGTGTAAAATACAGTACACAAAATATAGTGGTGTTTACCAGTGTCTCTTCACAGGGTCCTTAGCGCTACACCTGGTGTGCCATACAGTCATGGCCAACAATACTGGCATTTCTGTCAGACAATGTGCCACTTCTCCCAGAAAATCATTACAATCACAAATTCGTTGGTACTGTAATTATCTATTTCTTTTGGAACAACACAAAAAGCAGAGAAAAAAACCTAGATCTAGTAAATTCGACACAGAACTCTAAAATGAGACTTGACAGAATTACTGACACTCTCAACCTAATATCTGCCAGCACACCCTTTGGACAAAATAACTGAAATCAGTCGCTTCCTGTAACCATCAGTGAGTTTTTTTCGACTTCTCTACTGGAATTCTGGACCACTCTTCTTTTGCCCGATGCTCCAGGTCTCTCAGGCTTCCTTCTCCCAGCTGCTATTCTGAGATCGCTCCACAGCTGCTCTATGGGATTTAGACCTGGACCCATTGCTGACCACTTCAGAACTCTACAGCTCACTGTCTGAAACCATTTCTGGTGCTTTGTGAAGTCTGCTTTGGGTCATTGTCCTGCTGTAAGACCATGGCCTATGACAGCCCCATAATTCACTGGTAGTCTTAAGATTTCTTAATGCCATACACATAGTGAAGACATCCAGTGGCTGAAGTAACATCAGCAGAGAGTGGGCCCTGCACATTCACATACTGATTGACAGGCTTGAGCTCCCACCCTTGACAGTGGCCTTCTCTGATTGGCTAAGAGTGCTAAGAAATGCTGTCCTTCCTGGGTTTGACAGGCTACAGCAGGCAGTTCGTACCAGACTATGCAGGGTTAACAACTCCCTTGCGTCATATGGTTAATGAACAAGGCATGTGTTAGAACTAATCCTAAAGTATACTGTAACTTTGTTAATAATTTTACTCAACATTCCGCCTTTTGCCCTCTGTTACCAGAGGCCACCTTACACACATTCCAGAAACGAACATGCAGGACAGTTAAGTCCAACAGTGCCAACCTGGTCAGAAATGTTTAGAAGGAAATATCTCTGCACTGCTGCCAGGCTTTTGAGTCACAAGAACCTTCAACAACAACTTTCCCTATTAAGATAAATTTTTGGGGGATGTTTCTATTTGAATGTTACTTACTCTAGCTTTAACAAATGAGGAAATGTTCATTCTTTTAACATCTGTTGTATTTAACTTACACTCCAAAAAAAGAAGTTTGGCCCAGGCATAGCCACACTTTTCATACAACTATGCATTGATGCATTTTTCTTGTTATTTACCTGTGGGTGGCTTTCTTTTGAGGTGCCATCTTGTATTGCTCCGGAAACCATCGTCTGAAAGCATAAAAAGCACAAATCCATATTTATCTTCCTATGCACTGAACTTGTCATATACAGTGTCATTGAAGACAATATCACAGTGTTTCCCATACATTGACTAATTTGTGGCAGGCCACACATCATCTTACCATCATTGGTTTGCAAACAGTAAATGATTCACTTCTACCCACACACATATTATACTAAAAAAGATTATAACAGTGTTAACATTCTTACATCACACAAGTAATATACTAAAGAATTATTACAAAGTGTACACCACACCCACAGTTGTCAATGTAATTAATCATTGAGCCTGTTCTTGCATATATCTTGATTGACACATACCTTTATATTTATGTTTAAACTCGTCAATTCTATTACTATTTTTTATGTCTACACTTAAATTATTCCATAGTTTTACCCCACTTATGGAAATACAAAATCTTTTTTGGGTTGTACATATAGCATGAATTTTTAAATTTAACTGACCCCTTAAATTGTATCCCCCTTCCCTTTCATTAAATAGTTTTTGAATCCCACCAGGTTTTGTTGTCTTCTTCTCCTTGTTATGGTGCAGCAATTTGCTCAGTGCTTCCCCCTGTGGTCTGGGGTGAATCCCCAGTTCAACAGTGACACTGTCTGATGCATGGATGTACATTAAGGTCGGATCTAATTAGCAAATTACAATATCAACATTGACCGCCACATATTTGGGGCTGCCCCGATAGTCAAAAAGTAGTCATTACTCAAGAGACCTGTCAGTCAACTAAGAGTCTTCTAGCCTTTGTTTTTATTTTATTATATTTTATTTTTCATCAGCCAGTGGGCATTACAATAGAAAGCAGCCCCAGCCAGTAGTTTGTCGTCTTCCTCTCCTCATTTTGGTGCAGCAATTTGCTCAGTGCTTCCCCCTGTGGTCTGGGGTGAATCCCCAGTTCAACAGTGATACTGTCCGATGCATGGGTGTACATTAAGGTCGGATCTAATTAGGAAATTACAGAACAAGGAGAAGAAGACAACAAAACCCACTAGGACAAGACACATAAAAGTGAGATTTGTACTTTATTAGAAGTGTTTTCAGACATCGTGATCTACCTTTACAAGAGAAAAGACTGTTGTGATGGTTTGGCTGGTTTTTCATAATGTTACATGCATCAGGTTTGTTTACCCATCTCTATTAAAGTGTAATACACATTCTGCAACATGCATCCATCTGAACGGAACTAGGAAGCCAACACAAATGCGTGGGGAGGACACTTCAGTGAGGAATCATTCACAGTTCAAGCTGGTGCACATCAAATGCACAGTGACAACATGCTCTGTGATTAACTGAAGGGAGAAGCTCAAACTTGTTGGTAAACTAGGCTGAAAGCATGTCTCAGAAGAAAAAAAAATCAACTATAAGAGCATTGTTGCAACAGAAATACGTGTGCTACCTGTCTCATTATTCTGACTAATCCATATGGCAGCCCAACATTATAAATTACCATTTTAAGTTGGTTGCAATTTAAATGTTGCATCATATGGAGCAGTCTTTCATAGTTTTTTAAATGCTCAGAAATATGTTCTGATGTTAATGTTGTCGAAATCATCAATGAAATTCATACCAGTTGATTTTCTGATAGTACATTAAAAAAAAGAATAGAACAAATAGTCAAATAGCAGCACTGAAGAGCTGACTGACAGTCGACTGACAAAATCCTTACAGCCCTACACATATTGATTTAAATAATGTAGGTTAAATCTTATTTCAGCACATTGCACAGTCCCTCCATGCCCCACTCTATTTCTCTCTCACACACAAACACATGACGGTGGACTGTCTCCAGACAGCTCGTACTCTGTGTTTTTTTAACACAACGCTAATTAATAAATTATTAATAAAAGTTAATGCTAGTTCCTAAACGCTGAATGTTTGCCCTCTCAGTCCAGGTGAATATCAAAAAACATGTGGGAAAGCTGATCAGCTGGATAAGTGTAATTAGGTATTTAATTGATTCATTTCGAATATATATTGGTTTCAACCAGCGCTGCTAAAGCAGCAAGAGGGGGTCAGGAAGAGATGGATGACTAGAGAGATGTATGTTAGGAGAAAAGGAAGGCAGCAGCCAACATGCTGCTGCTGGGGCGGAGCCAGCTAGTGCAGGAAGGACAGGTCATATGAACAACACACAAGTAGCCTACTATGTTATTACTATATTGAATAATAATAAAAAAAAAAACTTAAGAAAGCGTGACAACAACCCCTACCCCCATGAGCTGCCGCCACAAGTAGAATCTAATTCTGTGGAAAATGCTGTACCACCATGCTTTTTTGATTGAGAGAGCAGTCACAGAATAAGTTCTCCTTACAAAGAATGTCACAGCTGAGAAGGTTTCCACAATTTTGCTCAACAGTACACAAACTCTCAGACACTTCACCATCACACAAACACTGACCTGCAAAGCTCCTTGATGGTGCTGACATCAATGATTCTGTAGTCAAGGTGGTACATAAACTGTGGCATGTATTTATCCAGAAATCTCTTGTCTGCATGCACAGAGTTACCTGCAGGGAAGGGTTAGGGTTAGGGTTAGGGTTAGAAATCACAAAACATGACTTTAGGAGCCAAGTAAATTGAGTCAGTTCTGTTGCTAGTGGTAAAAAGTAACTTACCGGCAAGGGGACACTGTCCAGGTGGGGTGTGCTGTCTGACAAAGGATAGGAACTCATACTCTGCTTGTTCCAGGGTAATTGTACTGTCCTGTACAGCTTGGGTCAGTCCTGACTGAAGACACAATTAACACTTACGACAGCTTCTCTTACACAGCACTTTAAATACTTTGCCTGGTTTTGAAATTGGTGAAACATAACAGGTGAGACAACAGAAAAAAACAGAAGAGAAAAGTAGGTACTGACTGTATAATTAGGAATGTAACAAGCTATTGATTTGGATCAATATACAGTGGGTACGGAAAGTATTCAGACCCCCTTAAATTTTTCACTCTTTGTTATATTGCAGCCATATGCTAAAATCATTTAAGTTCATTTTTTTCCTCATTAATGTACACACAGCACCCCATATTGACAGAAAAACACAGAATTTTTGACATTTTTGCAGATTTATTAAAAAAGAAAAACTGAAATATCACATGGTCATAAGTATTCAGACCCTTTGCTCAGTATTTAGTAGAAGCACCCCTTTGAGCTAATACAGCCATGAGTCTTTTTAGGAATGATGCAACAAGTTTTTCACACCTGCATTTGGGGATACTCTGCCATTCCTCCTTGCAGATCCTCTCCAGTTCTGTCAGGTTGGATGGTAAACATTGGTTGACATTTTCAGGTCTCTCCAGAGATGCTAAATTGGGTTTAAGCCAGGGCTCTGGCTGGGCCATTCAAGAACAGTCACGGAGTTGTTGGGAAGCCACTCCGTTATTTTAGCTGTGTGCTTAGGGCCATTGTCTTGTTGGAAGGTGAACCTTCGGCCCAGTCTGAGGTCCTGAGCACTCTGGAGAAGGTTTTCGTCCAAGATATCCCTGTACTTGGCCGCATTCACCCTTCCCTCGATTGCAACCAGTCGTCCGGTCCCTGCAGCTGAAAAACACCCCCATAGCATGATGCTGCCACCACCATGCTTCACTGTTGGGACTGTATTGGACAGGTGATGAGCAGTGCCTGGTTTTCTCCACACATACCGCTTAGAATTAAGGCCAAAAAGTTCTATCTTGGTCTCATCAGACCAGAGAATCTTATTTCTCACCATCTTGGAGTCCTTCAGGTGTTTTTGAGCAAACTCCATGCGGGCTTTCATGTGTCTTGCACTAAGGAGAGGCTTCCGTCGGGCCACTCTGCCATAAAGCCCCGACTGGTGGAGGGCTACAGTGATGGTTGACTTTCTACAACTTTCTCCCATCTCCCGACTGCATCTCTGGAGCTCAGCCACAGTCATCTTTGGGTTCTTCTGTACCTCTCTCACCAAGGCTCTTCTCCCCCGATAGCTCAGTTTGGCCAGACGGCCAGCCCTAGGAAGGGTTCTGGTCGTCCCAAACGTCTTCCATTTAAGGATTATGGAGGCCACTGTGCTCTTAGGAACCTTAAGTACAGCA